TGTCCTCTTCCCAGGGATCCATGGGTCGCATTTCTTCCAGCGCCTTATTGAGCGCCCACGCATCCAGAGAAGCTCGAGCTCTCATTGAAAGCGACGCCCTCATGATTCTTGGCGCCCCTCCCTGTTGGCTTGGCCGCACAGTTGAGATGGTGTGCCTTGTCCGTGACCACAGAGGTTTCGGCTCACCATTGCTTCCTGCGCTGCCCTCATCCCCATTAAAAGCAAACGATTGGCCGGGCATGCCTCCTTCTAGAGTGGCGTGCGGTAGACGAACCCCACTCCCAGCATGTTCCTTTGCCATTGGTATGCCACTGTGTCCCAGTCCATTCCAGGCAGATTTCCGTTTGCCTATACTGCGCCTGGCTTTTTCTATGAACTCACGTGCTTTCATGAGGGGATTCGGAATTTGCAGCCCTTTGTGTTCAACTCTCTCTTGCACGTTATCGGGGGCATCAGAACGAGGCCAACTTCGCAAAGTCGTGTCATCGGCATCACCATTTTCCTCATGCACAGCTGGTTCTATCTCACTCACTGCAGCCCTGCTGTCAGACACGTTTGAGGGCTGAATGGCATCAGCTGGCGGATCCTGCAGGTCATTTGGGTCCACTCCAGGCTCTTGAGGGGTCCTCTGGCTACTTCCTCCTACCCGTAAAGCAGTTGGGTGCCGTTCCCAAGTGGAGTCGCCTCCCCCCCCGTCATGCCCTCCTCTCTCCCCTGTCCCAACAGAACGCACAGCCACCTGTGCACTCTTGGCCCCCAGCTCGCCAGTCTGTCTCTCTACATCCAGCCTCTCTTTCATTGCAGCTGCCAACTCGTGCGCGTTCAAAGTCGCCTTTGAAATTAGGCGGGCATTGTCTTCTATGGAATTTGCATTGGGGCGTTGCCAGCCTGGAACAACTGCGAGTTTCAATGTGAGTGTCACAATCCGTTTCACCACATATAGGCGTCACATGGCAGGTAGTCGCAGTAAAGCAACACCAAACTGTCGTTCGTGGGCAACCATGCCAATTGACACTCGCATACCCACTGCAGCAAGTGGCCAAATGAATGGGATGGAGTCATCGGCAACAGCATACAAATAGCATCGATTCAATTCAATGCGCATGGGCCCAAGGATTGGCACTGCGCTCATACCAGGCCACACTCCTATGTTGAGGCACCAAGATTTCGAGCCCACCAGATCCCTTCTGTTGTGAGGTGAATTGGTGCCAACTGCCAGTTTTGTTTCTGGGTGAGCTTGCCCGCTCTGGCAACTGCAGTGAGAGAGGAACTTCGCCATTGCAGCGTACCTGCTTGTCTCTGCACCGGTTCAGCACCTCCAGTTGTAGGCAAAGATTTTCCCGGCTCCGAGAACGTCCATCCCGGCGAATGCAAGGCATCCGTGGCCTGTGGCATTGAGGACTCTTCGCACCGTGGGGATTGGCAATTCCCAGCCGAAACAGTCCTGGTGGAACCACAGGAATCGTCCACACGGGGAAGCGAATTCTCTACCTCTGAAGTGGGCTCTCGGATAGCCGACCCTGGTGTACTTTCACTGCGAGAGGACCACTCGTAGCCCTCATTGGCTGCAGAACTCTCTCCAGCTGAATTCTCTTCAGCTCTCCTCAGAAATTTTGCCTTTTGAGAGGGAGAATCACCCTGCCCGGTGGGAAGTGAGGTATCCTCAACTGTGGTAGGGGATTGGATAACCTCTGCGACGGTCCTTCTAGTCCCAGGAAAAGAAACATCGCTCACGTCTGGAAGTACACCAGCTGCACCATACACGCTGGGCCAGACAGCTCCGCGTTGCAAGCCTCCTGTTTGCATGGAACAGCAATCAATCGTTCGGAATGGCAAGGTCCCTTTGCCAGCGCTGGGAGATTGTGTGGCTTCCCCAGTAGAGCGACACCCACTCCTGGCGCCACGAGGGCCATCTTCCAAATATGAATTGGTGGATTGACTGTTTCCCTTCGAGGGGGTGCTTGTCTGGCCACATTTGCCACGGGTTCCAGCAGGATGACGGCTTCCTGCAGCTGAAGCATGGGATCCAATGTTTCCACTCACTAGTTTCGTAGCATCAGAAGATCTGCCATTCATCCAGCCACGAGAGCAATCTCCCGCAACTGGCATGGGAGGTCCGCCATATTCCTTTGGTGCGTTCCTGGTCTGTGAACAGCTATCACTACCTTGACGAGAGTGGCGATCTTGGGCATTTGAAGTGTGAGAACTTGTGCTCCTTCTTGGTGACCTTGTAGTTGTAGGGGCGTAACCACTGCCAGCACCAGGATGGACATCCCCTGAGTCAGATATGAAGTAGTCGATGCTTTCCCTGAGTTTCTTTCTGACATGGGAGGAATTGCCAGAGCTTGCGCTTCGATAGTCTGCTTCGGCATCTGGTTGTTGAGATTGGATGCTTCCCATCACCGCCTCCCTTGCGCAAGAACCCCCACCCCCACCCATGCCTGCAGGTGGATGTTCGGCATCCCATGCTGGAGATACGACAGCCCCCTTCAGCGATCTTTCGTTTTGAGAAGCACAGCCGTCGCCCATGCCAGGAGGGGCATCTTCCTCATCTTGGGCAGGACAACAAGTGGCTCCCTTCGTTGGACTGTTCAACCTGGTGGAACTGCCAACACTCGCAGCAGGTTGGGAAATATTTACACGTGAAGAGGACGATCTGTTGCTTTCCCTTTGCTGTGTTGTAATTAGAGAGGCACCAATATGTTGAATGTCAGAACTTTTTCCAACCAAAGTTGAAGACTTGATGCCTCCTCCTGGCCTTTTATCAATTAGACAGGAAATGCCTCTGGAGACAAGAAAATCAGAATCACTTGAATCAGAAGAGCAGATATACTCCTCCTGCGGACTCCCAGTCTCAGATGCACTACCAGCACTTGTGTCTCCAAGAGAATACTTCCCAACTGAAATGGCCAAGGCGTCTGTTGGTGGCTTTTCTGCAAGAGTCCTTGCGTGTGATTCCCTCTGTTCCATCCAATTCTTTGTTGATTCCAAAATTGGACCATGTGCAGCAAAACGCGCGCTCTGCTGTGTCTTCTCCTGGAAATTATGCTCTGAAGCCCCACTCACACGCACATTGATGCCATTCGAAGGCCTGATGTTCACGGCCGGCAGCACACTTTTGCCGCTCTTGGAAATTGCAGACATCTCCCCAGGCCAGCAGAAAGTCACCCCTGCCCTCTCATTGTCTATCAGGTGTTCTAGGGAAGACTGGCATTGCTGCAAAAGGGCAAGAGGATCTGGAGGGCTGCCCTTTGCATCACCATTGATGCCTAATTCCTGATATGGCAGTGTGTTCTCCCTTGTCATCGATCCTGCCGTGGCAAGTCTCCTCCCAAGCATTGTTGATATATCCCTAATCTCATCTGCAAAGTCACGAAATCTCACCTGTGCAACAGTACCTATGGAGCCAGAAGAAAATTCTCCACTGGAAGAGATTCGCCACCCGTGCTGGGCCCCAGGCCCACGCAGATCATCTGGCACTTCAGAACTGGATGAGCTCAACAAGTCACCCACAGAGGTGGCATGCCTCCAATCAGCCAGCCCATCCCCTTGTCGCCCGGCATGTGTGCGTGACGGTGGAGAACAGAAAGAGGAAGAAGAAGAAGAAGAAGAAGAAAAGGACAAGGGCAAGGGTATTCTTGCCTGATGCAGTGCGGTTTTCCATGCCCTTGGTTTGCTTGGAGAGCTGGGCTCTGACCCCCACGAACGATCGCCCGCCATCGCTTCTGCAGCGCGCATCTCCCAAGCGGGGCTCACAGCAGGGATGCCCCTCCTTCTCCCTCTCCTCCGAAACCCGGTAGCCTGGACGTCACACCCAGATGACGACTCACTATCCGACGTTCGAGTGTCCCTGATGATCGAAGCAGCGCTCTTTTCCCAGATGGGCGACCCAACGGGTGCGTTCCAGCTCTTCCTTTCCCTTGGAAGGCACCCACTCTGGACTTCATCCTCAGATGAAGAATTCGTTTCGCACCTCGACGGTCCCAGCGTCCAGCCTGCCGGGCGGCTCGCCTCCGGCGGACCGCCATGGGAGCCGCTTGACGACGATGTCGTGTCACTGAGGACATTCCCAGCTCGCACCACCCCTCCCTGGCCCCAGGTACCCGTTCCTAGCCCTCCATTCCTCTCAAAGTGTCTCTCCCTCTGCTCCTCCCAACTGACGCTCATTCCCTCAAAATCGAGCCCGCAAATTGCCTTTTCCGTCGCCTTCTTGCGACCGCCTTGTCGCGATGGGGCCAGGGAGGCGCCGTACAGCTTCTGGGCCCACGCCATGCGGCCCTCGCCGCTCGTTGCCGTCCCCATTCCCGGCGGAGGGGCCAAGCGCACGGGGCCAAACCGATGCCGGCCATAATCCATAAAGCGAGATTTTCTCCGCGAGTCCAGTCCAGAGGCCGCCGGGCGCTCTTCGGATCCCCGGCAACGCGATCAGGATCAGGTGATCAGGACAGCCGGAGAGGAACGGATCGGGAGCTCGGCCTCGGCGCCAGCTCACCCAGGAAACCTCCGCGACATCTTGCGGGCTCCTCGGCGATGGTCCCTCCTCTGGCCGCCGGCATTTCGAACGCAACGCAAGGGAAGAGACCCGCGCAACGTCCGGCCAAAAACTGCGGCGCCGCCTGCGGGGGGACCCGCAGTTGCGTTCGGCCGGAACGCCTGCGTGGAGCGGAATTTGGTGGAGGTGGTCAACCGAAGGCTCTGACTGGCGCTGGAGCGGCTGACGGCGCACAGGCAGCCCGCCGGGCGCAAAGGAGGGCAGCGCGAAGCTGCCATGCGGCGAACGGGCCGCTGGGCGGCAGGCTGGTGGCGGTGCGGTCTACGGATGCAATGACCATCCCTTGCGACGGATTTGGCCCTGTCTGCCGGTGATTGCGTTGGTAGTGGTCGGCCGCCCAAGGGAGGGAGCCACAGCCCCCCCTTGAGGCCGAGGCAAGCCGCAGCCGCCCGGGAACCCCAGCCATGCGCTTGATCCAGGCGCCCTCGGCGCCTCCGCTCCACGGGCCATGTTTCAAGTGGTGCGCGCCCCCAACGATGATCTGCGCGGTTTTTGCGGAGCCCTGCGCTCTTCGCCACCTCTGAAGTTGCTGTGCGGCGCAGAAAAAGCCCCGCCCGGACGCTCGTATCCTGAAGATGAGGGACAAGGAGGACAGGCTCGCGCGGATTCAGCGAAGCGTGCAGGTAGCGTTGGCGGTCCGGGCGCGGACCCGTGGCTGATGCTTGGACCATTCGCATGGCCTCCACAACCGGCCACGGCACCCCCAGAAAAACTGGTGCTGCTTTGTGATTGCCGTCGAGGGGGGGTATCTCAAGTGCCCCTGGTGAAAGAATTCTGAATACTGGCGTGGTGGGGAGGATCCATGGCTGACAGGTTGCGCGGGTGCCGTCCCTCCAGGAGGACAGGGTCCTGGACGCCGTCACCACCTGGGAGGACAAGAGCAACCAGAAAATCCAGGCCAATCAGGCCCAGGAGCGCTTCGTGAGGCTCAAGGCCGATCGGAGCGCGGCGCTGGACGCGCGGCGGCGGCGGCTGGCGTCCAAGCTCCTTGAGGAGGAGCGGGCGCTGGAGGCGGAGCTTGTCAGATCTGAGGAGACGCCCGAGGAGCGGCGGGCCAAGCTGGCTCAGAGGGCGCGGCAGCTGCAGGAGATGCGGGAGGGGGAGAGGCGGCGGCTGTCGGAGCGGCTGATGGAGGCCCACTTCAGGGAGAATTGTGACCCGCTGAGGGCGAAGTGCTCGCAGAGGATATTGTACAGGACGGTGGAGGAGAGGAACCAGCAGGTGGGGGGCGGAAATCGTGTCTGGGGCAGGGAGGGATATAGGCCATGCCCCGGGTGCCCCCCCTCGAACAACAGCGTTTGTGAGGGCCCAACCTGTGTTGTGTGATTAATCGATTTGTCCATTGTGGCAACGTGATGAGTCTGCCCATGCAACAGGAGCAGAATGCAGCACAGAATGGCATAACAAAGCCGTGCCTTCAGTAGATATTGTGGGCGGTCATCGATCTGGGGTGGCCATATACTGGTCTTTGGAGGGTGACGATTGTTGCACGCCAGTCATGATGTATCCCCACTGGAACGGAGGAATTGCAGCTCTTTACCATGTTGCGGGAGATGATGTCAAAGTCGCCGCTGCCAAGCGGATTGTCCAGAAGAAGAAGGAACTGGTATTTGGGGAATCTTCGAAAGGCAATGCTGATGATGTGTTCTGGATTTGCTTGCAGATAGAGCGGAAAACGCAGATGAAAATACTTGAAGAATCTGAGAGACGCGAATATGAGGAGATGCAGGAGATGGAACGATTGAAGATGGAACAGAGGCAAGCAGACTTGGGTGGCAACAGGATTACAATCCATGGGAGACATGGGCGATTCTGTTGGGTGCCATGGCTCTTGCAACCAACCTGGCTGCCACTTGTTCTGTGGAGATGTGGTCTTTGACGCATGTATCTGGAATGCACAATGGTGCTTCCAGCACGCACCATACTGATGCATGGCAGTAGAGGCTGCCTTGGGTTGATGTAAAGGGAAGTGCCTTGGCAGCTCCCACATAATATTTGCTTGCTGGTCATAACTGAATCTGAATCATTTTATGCGGTGCGGATCTGTCATCCATCGTCAAGCGACTTGACTGTCCCTGTGGGTGGTTGGCAGTTTTGGAGAATGCCCTGCAGATGCACACACTACCTCTCATTGTCATGAGAGCTCTGTGGATGACATGTCCAAGTCGACCAATTGAATATGAGGAATGGCGCACAGGTACTTGGACGATCAAAAGTACCTAAAGGAGCAGCGAGAGGATCTGCAGCGCGGTCTGAAGGAGCAACTGCGGCTCCAGGACAACAAGAAGAAGGAGGAGAGGCAGTGTGAAATTGCAGAGGCGCAGGACATGAAGGCACAGTGGCAGCTTGTGCAGGAGGAGGCCAAAAGGCAGGAGGCTGCTGAGATGGAGAGGAAGCATTGGCTGGCAGCAGAGGTGAAACAGTTTAATCGGGAGAAGCAGGCAGAACTGGACGAAGCCATGAGGCTGGAGAAGTGAGGCGATTTCCAATAGCTGAACACCTAGCTTCTTGCTGTCAACGTATCTTTGCTCAAGTAAACCTAGAACACCATGCTCGGTGTTGTGCTGCACTGGAAGCCCTCCCCCATATCTCAGTGCCAAAGTCGTGGACTCGCTGGTCACATGCACTTGGCTGCAGGCAGACCCAGGCCTCAACAGCAAGTTGACAGTGTGTGCACTTGAACTTATGAGGCGACAACGATGCTGTTGGCATGTGTGCACACCAAATTCTGCTGTTGCTGTGGTTCCTGTAACAATTCAGTGTTGTGTTTCCAGCCAAGGTAAACCAAACGGCTTGCAAGCAATGTCAACTGTTCTGCACTTTTTGAATGGATCTGTATGCACGATGGTCACAGGTCCAGCAGCAGAGCTGATCACAGTTATTGACATCCCTAGCACAATATTGGCAACAGAATCATTTGTTTCCACATCCCTATGCAAACATTGCTTGGTTCAGTTGCCAATGTCTAAAAAGCGCAAATACAAAGAAATGAGCAGCTTGAGTTGAACAGATTTTGCTGTATGCCGACAGGGAAGAAGAGGCCAGGTACCTCAAAGAGGCATTGGCACGGGAGGCAGAGGACGAGGCCAAGGCTCAGGCCAAGAAGCGTGCACAGATGGAAGAGACTTTGAAGTACAAGGCGCAACTGGCTGAGGCGCTGAAGAGGGACGGGGAGGAATTCACTGAGGACGAGGCACGCATTGAGCAGCAGGCTGAGGAGGCCAGGCGCCGGCAGGACGCTGTGTGGGCGGCACAGGAGGCAGCAAGGAACCGCCTAGCCAGTGAGGTTTACGAAGTCCAACAGAGGCAGATACTGGAGAAGGAAGAAACGAGGTTGGCCGGAAATTGGGAGCAGCTAAGAGCATTGTCCTGTGGCTGCAGGCTGTCATGTGTCCATGTATGCTCGCCTCCAGATTGCAGTTGCTGACCTAAGCGCCTCTGCTTTGTATGTGGGAATGCTGAAGAATATGCTATCATCTTTGACCAAGGTAAATACAAATAGTGCATGCGTTTATTTTAGACTAAAGTTGTCTGCATGCAATATTCACTACGGTAAGGGAAGGCAATATGTCGATTTTGGTACGCTTAGCATCAATTTGACCTTAACTTCAGACCCCTCTTCCCCCCTTTCACCCCCTTAGCGTTTATCCTTATGTCGAAGCCAGGATGACACAGCAACAGTACGAAACAGTGCGGCACAACTTTATTATGTATTCAACAAAGAAAAACAGCCAGGGCTGCAGCGGCAATTGTGGGTGAAAACTGACATGTGAACAGCCATGGCAGACGATGGGAGCAATCTTGGTGGCCGTCAATTGAGTTATTTTGGGACTTTTTTGAAGATTGATCGGTGAGGGAGGTTTGGGAACAAATGCTAAACGTACCAAATCCGGACATAGTGCCTCCCCTAACTTGAAGACACGGCAATAAAACGTGTCAGTATTGATCGCAAAGTAGGTTGAAGCCGCTGGCGCTGCGCCCATGCGGACGTTGGCAATGCGGTACCAAAGCACTGCTTATCAGCAGCAAGGTTCTGGCATCTCTTCCCGGATGATCAACGCAGTGTGTTTCTTTTGTGGCTGGACATCGCCTGGCAGGTGAAGGGGCAGCAATCGGTCACGTTTTGGTGTAGGTGGTCCATTGGTTTTTATACAGCTGATTTCAGTTATAGACTACGTAAGTTGCATGCGCCATGCAGGGCTCGCCTCGCTGATGAGACTCAAATGGAGCGTCAGCAGTTTGCAGAGGAAGCGGCACAGCTGACGAGCGCCGAAGAAGCCGCCAAGGCAGAGGCCATCAGGAAGGCGCTGATGCACCGGTTGGAGCTTGAAGCCCAGATTATGACAAAGGCCCAGCGCAAGGCGGCTGAAGAACATGAGAGGCTGATGGAGTTGCAGGTACGAGAGCCAAGAAGATGGCACGCAAGATGCAGCGCCATGCATATGCATTCAGGCAACCCTGCAGATGGGCCTTTCTGCCAGCGCCCGTCTTTTAGTGGGACGCAAAATTGCCACCACTTTGAAGCCCAAGAGATCCTGAACTACAGTTGGTAGTTTGGGAACATCCACGTGGCACACTTCAAGGACTGCACGGCAAATCATTGATGTTGCAAGGCGATTCCCAAGCAGTGGTTTCGTTGAGGTGTCGGCAGCAGGCTCAATCCGTTGATTTATATGCAGGCAACAAAAGAGGCAGAGGCTATGTACACGGCCAAGATCCATGAAGCCTTGCAGTCAGAAGCTCCCTTGTGGCATGGCCGAAAGAAGGTCGAGTGGTTCCATTGACAGAGAAACACACACATGCAGCAAATATCCTCTGCGCTCATGACGCTCAGGTCACCTCCAACATACACGCGCTGGCAACTAGAGTTGGTGGATGTCTGTCCTCATGGAGCTGATTGACGGGAGCTCAAGGTGTCCGATATCAAGTTCCGAGTATGTTGATTGATTGTGGAAGGCGGCACCCATGCTTGAATGCAGGGCGAGAGAAGAAACATTCGAGCCACGTGATCATACACAAATTGTAGGCAATTTGCCTGTCGTCACCGCCAGCCTCCCGCCTCTTCCTCTGCCCATCTCCAAAAGAAAGACGGGCACAGAAGCACAGTCAATCATACACCACCTGCGAGCTGAAGGTGAAGGAGACAAGAAAAGGGTATCACAGCAGGACCCTGCCATTGATGGCAATAATATCATTGCACAACAAAGTATCCACAAGAAGCACGACAATTTTGATGCTTACAAATCAATTACTGGAAGTCGATGGCATCACGGGCTTTCCCTGGTCCACACGAGCCCAATGCATGTGCACACCAAAAAATGCAGAGATAGCTGGCACAGCGCTTCACAGGCAACTTTGAAATTGCAATTGTACACCTGCAGATGCTTCATCGACAACGGTGGAATCACTCAAGCAGACGCTGTTGTCGGGTTGTTTTGGCCAGTAAGACGCATTCTGCAGACTCATGCGATGATCTCAACGAACAGCAATGAACAAAACATGGCGAAATTCGGCGTCATTCAATGGGATATGAACGGACCTGCAGGTTGTGAAAGGGGCCTCCTGCCATGCCATGCGTGCAACTTGGCTGGAGGGGCTCACTCCCTCCAGCGGTAGCAACATGCGCATAATAACATGAAGGCTGATTTCCCAATGGCGAACGCGCGTCGAGTAATGGGTACTCTCCTCGTGAGCAGGACATGTGGGTTCACAACGCATGTTATGGAAAAGAAGATTGCATGACAAACTTCTGGGCGTTACGAGAACAGCCTGCCGCAGGACCCAGCCCACGCGATCCACCAGCCATGGGTGATCGCCAGTGCGCTGTCGCACACATGCGCTTCCCTCAACATACCATTCAATTCGTGCAACCGCGGCCACCGTTCTCCCATGGACACCCTTCCTATCGTTCGTGTGCCAATAGCCAATCCCCGCGGCCATGAAATGGCGATTCGTGTGAACGTTCAAAGGTATACACGGGAATCGCTGTGAATTTTCAATGCGAACTGGAACAGTCTTGGGAAATCAGGGCTCTGCAATTGTCTATGTTGCGTGTTGGTGCTTCGAAGGACCCAGTGCTGCCCCCCGCTGCTTGTGCCCTTCAGCATGCTGTCCTCCATGGATAACAACATGTTCAGCGACGCAAACATTGAGGGTCAACAACGGAGCACATAATGCGCTGTCGGTTTGGCCAGGCGTCTGGGCTGACCGTTGGTTCAATGTCCGCCCTGCTCGCCTCCGTGTCAATTGCACTTGCGCCCAACGACAGCAACCCGCCAAAACCGATGTGTCTGGTAGGGCCACCACCGCAAGCCCAGGTCTAGCATCATAAAGTATGTGCACAGGGTGTTTGTGCACATCGCTAAGACCCTTCTGTCCGCTTCCTGCTGTTGCAATTATCATAGAATCATGAAAAGTAAAGGCAGGAATGGTTGGCAATTAAGGCAGCTGCATGGATGAAGATGGAGGGCTCAACAGGTCTCTCTCGGATGGCTGGATCACCCATGCAGATGTTACCCAATTACTAATTCGAACATTGTAGTACTTCATGGGCGCCTGACACACAGGCTCAAGTGCCATGATTATACAGTGCTCAATGTTAACTCGCGGCGGTATGAATGACGCGGTGCTCGACAATGCACCCTGTAGTACTCGGACATGCTCTTCGGCAAAGGGGACTGACATGTCCCCACGGCACCCACCCATGGCACTTGATTCACCACAGAAGTCCTTCTGAACCAGACACTGCACAGCTTTTGGATATCGGGATGATTTTCATTTGACAGAAGATCAAACTGAAGAAGCCAAAAAATCTAGAAAATAACCAAGAAATCCACTAAAATTCCACTAAAAAATTCGCTGGATGCCGGCATCACCACCTTGAAACAGACCACCGCCTGCCGGTCGTCTTCAGTTGTTCTCCCGCCGGGCACCGACGATCGCAGCAGGTTCCCTCGAGGTGCCACCCCCGCGCGGCAATGGCGGCGGTGCGTCGTCTCGTGTTCTTGGGCGTCGCGGTGCCCACCGTGATGTACGTCTTCTCCTCGTACGACAGCGTCCTGAACTGGCTGTTCGAGAGGTGGGACCCTGGCGCCAAGTGTTGCGGCGCGGTGGTAACTCCGGAGCGGCCTCTTCCTAAAGCCGGCCCTCGCGCTCCTGGGTGTTCTGCCGTCGCGGTCGCGCTGTGGGGACGCCGGATATCGGAGCGTATTGGAGCTGCCTTTCGCGCTGTCGCCCCAGGACGCTGGAAGGCTGCTGAACCACCTCTGATTGCGGAACCGAGTCTGAGAGCTTGGCCCAAGTTTGGGGCGGTGGGAGGGGGGGGAAGGGAAACCCATTTTATGGGTTCGCCCTTCTCTATTTGAAAAAAACCGCTCATCATTGTCCCCACGATGGATGTCATTGCCCCATCGCTTGCGCTGCTCGGCTTGGAGCTCAGCATTGGCCTCCCACAACGCTGGTATCCAGTACTGGGATCTGAGGGGTCATTCTTTGGTTTGGCAGGCGCGTTGCCCGCATGGAGAGAGATAAACTGCACAACGCGGCTATGCAGGTGTCTGACAGTCAAGAAATCATCAGAATGGCCATGGTGCTCATCTTGAGGTTGATTTTTGATACCGATCGCTCACCTTGTGGAGTCTGTTCATAATTGACAGGGGCGCTGGTAGAATACCAGTCACCCTATCCTTGCTGTGCAGTTCTTGTGATATGAATGATGGCCTATTTCGTGGAACATCTGAGCTGTGCATGTGCTCCCCTGTCAAGAATTGAAACTGGCAAATCTGTTCATTGGACCAGACGGGTGTCAAGTGTGACGCCTGTCCTCGTGTGTGCAGGAGAGGCAAAGACTGCTGGCAGAGGTGTTGGAGGGAAGGTCATAGGAGCTTACACAAGGGCCACGTGGCTGAGGAGCAGTTGATGACTCTAGCGTTTGAACTGTAAAAGAGGGCTGCTCCACAGAGAACACAAAAACGCCCCTTCAACAGTTACTTGCCAATCACTAGCAGCGGAATGGTGAGGTTAGCACAATGTGGCCATACACTCCATTTTGCAAGTCGGACAGTGAGCAGAGTCTCAGTCTGCAGTCTGAAGAGAAGTGGAGGGATGCTACTGTCATTCTGACGAGAAGGCATTGCAACTCTAGAGAAGTACGTCCTAAATGTTGAGCTTTAGGTCTTTATTCAGGAGCTTTGTACCTGAGTTGGGGTGTTTTCGCTGGGCTTGGAAATGGCTAGTTTGCAGCAATGCTCCAGTACACATTGTGGAGAGCTCCCCGAACTGACGCTTAATGTAATGCTGAAGATTTTCTAAGGATTCGAGATCCTTTGCAGTTTTCTGGGAATGCAAGCCACTGCCAACAGCTTTGACAACATGGGGCTGGCAACTGGACAGCCAGGTATGAGCAAACATTTTGGATACTGAAAATGGAAAAGAGGGATATTGTGGGCCAAGGTTGGCTTTCTGGGCAATTTGCCCCAATCTTCACACTGACTCTTTGCTTTGTATTTGCAAGCACAAGCAATGTCATATGGCAGACGATGATCTCTGAATTCTTTGTGAGTGGCAGCTGCTCCTAGACGAGCAGGGGCCACAGGACTCAACCGTGGGGGCTGTTGCTTCTCATGCTATCACCCTCCCTTGTGGAGTCATTGCTAAATCTGATTCCAGCATATAGGCTGGGGATGTGCAACTGCAAGGAAAGAAAGCCATGAGGACCCAACCATGGATACACAGTCCTTTGAGACTGGAGCCATGTGTCAGCCACTGGTGCCTGATCTGTGCACTTTCTTGCCTATCCCAGAGAAAAACAGAATCTGAAGTGTTGACATTTTCCGTCTCTCACTAGGGGGTGAAGCACTCAGAAACAGTGGCATACAAGTTCTTGCGTTGATGATGTGGCCGAAGGCATGTTGCCTGGGGCAAAAAGAACAGCATCCTTGAGTCTTGAGTGATCGCCAGTTGCCCAATACACTTCACAGCCCTGCTGAAGCACTGCCACTGGCACCTGTGCACCCACTGCGCTGTTAGTGCTATTTTGTTGCACATCATCAGCCAAGCAGAAAAGAAGCCATGCAAGCATGGATTGGTGCACAGGGCATTGCTGATGTGCACATGTTGTCTACAATCGTCAGATACATCAGTGACAGACCAACAGATGGACAGCTGCGAGGCACGTTTCGAAATGTGGCAAGATTCAAAATGGTAAAGCATCGGTTTGCGACCCACAATACGATTTGTCGGGAAGGGTGAAATAGGCACTTCTGGAGGGACAGGCTGCAGAAGCCCGTGCAGGGTTGTTATTGGGCAAGGTGTTCTTTGACTGCTCGTTTAGGATTAGCATAGTTGATGAGGAATTTTATTCAGAACATGGGAGTTGCCATGCACAAGTCGTTGCACTGTCATCACCTGCAAATACTGTTGTCACACCCTCCTCGGACAACCGCAATCCACATTGATGTTGCACGTAATCTGCGATGAATGTTGTGCAGGGGACTGTGCCCCCAAGCTATTTTCATGATCCCAAGCCATCTTGCTACAGATGACGCGATGTCCTTGGTTCCCAATTCTTCCACCTCGCCATCTTCACGCTTCTAAGGCTTGTTCGACGGTACCCGCTGATAACAGCTTTTCCAGAAATTTCCATGCGATGATGGCTTATCCAAGCCACCCCACATTGTGTAGCATGCACACAAGTGTGCCACGCCCGCTTGCAAAGCAGTCTCTTGATCCGCCTGAACCGCGAATGACCCACCCAGAGACCCACCGGTGGCCATTGTGGAGCGCCATCGTCATCATGAATTTTTCCACAACAAGGCTAGGAGGTGGACGGAAACTGCCTATTTTTGGAGCGTCATTAACGATCGATGGCGTTGATGAACGCGGAATGGTGCGGCAACTTGGCCATTTTTCAAATCGATCCCACGGAAGCCACCCCCCCACCCCAAGCGCCACCACCGGGTTCAAAGTTCTCCCCAGCGCCCGCACCCCACACCGCCCCTCGCGCCCCGCCCTGCCGAGGCCCGTCTCCCGCAGGGGCCCCGCGCAGCGGGCGACCGCCTCCCACACCGCCTCGGATATTTGCGCCCCCTGGGCGAGGTCCCGATTTGCCCAGGAGGCCCGCGCAGTAGCGTCCATCCGCCGCTTGTCATCGGGCCAATGAACGATCTCTTGGGTCAAGTGCCGGTGAGTTGGGCCCCTGAGAATCGGTGCATTCGTTCGCTTGGCCGCTTGCGCGCTCCAGAGCCTGATTATGTCCAGCAATCGGCGCACACGGAAAGTGCGCCCGTGATCTTTTCGTTGGGCGCAAGAGGTGTGTCCCGACGATTGCCAAGAGCGTTCTGGGCGGAGGGGACCCCCGCGGGCCTCGGATTTGGCTGCCGACGCAGCTGTTTACCTCGATGCGGCGTCGGTCTTTGCAATGGACCAAAAGATGTGACCGGCGCTGCAGCGGTCGTGGCCCTGCGAAGCTCTGAGGGTCACCCCGAGGAATATACATCAGCAGATTTCTTCGTGGTCATTGTTGTCGCAGCAAAGCGAGCGCCAGCATGCCGCCGTCAGAGGCGGGGTGCGTGTGTGCGTGCAGAATGGTGGGCGCCTGATCGCAGTTCTGGTGGCATTTGGGCGCCTTGTGTAGATCGGTCGGACTTGGCCTCGGGGACTGAGGAACACCCGATGGTGGTCATGGCGACATATATCTGATAATCTGGTGGCGGAGGTTCCCCATCGTCTCAGCATTGTTCCCGCGTTGCCCATGTGCCTTCTGTGGGCGGCTGTGTGCCATGAAAAGAGGATGTCTTTTCAGTGCAGTGCCCAATTCCTGGAGTCGAAAGTCACTGGAGCACTTTTATGGCGTGGGAATAGTTTGCAATTCAAGTCCTAAAGAGACGGCTAATGTTGGCAAGTTGCTGTGGTGTCAATCCTCAGTGCACTCAGGCTATGCTGATAAGCAAGTGGCCTTGGATTTTGTGTGTACATGTGTGTGTGTATGTGTGTGTTGACTGTGTTCAATACAGAGCATATCTACAAATGATTCTCCCTACCACTGGCCTGTACAAGCACGGCCAAAACTGTTCCTGTGCACGATGACTGGATAGTGCCAGCAACACCACAAAAATTGTGAACATGCACTGTCGATGGAATTGCTGTGAACGAAAAGTTGCACTCACTGCTGAGGTTGTGCTGTGATGGATATAGGGTGCGGGTGTTGGGGGCACAGGAAGGTTGGATGGAGTGCCAGGGGTGAGTACTAGCGATCGCTTATTTTGAACAGATTGAGCAGGCTGTCCCGCCTGGCAAAATGCATCCAACAGCTGTGCAGTCGCTGCACATTCGTGCAGTTGTTCTGTGGCTCTCAGGGCTGCTGTGGTACTCAAAGGCTGCAAAGTATGTCCTGAACAACCCCGGCATATACTTTGCGATAGCCGTCACTTGATATTGGGTTTCACAGTGAGTGCCCAAGTGGTGTGCAGTTGGGTGACAGTCTGGCATCCCCCTAAGTGACTGCATGGGCCAGCAGTGCGCTTTCTTATATAAAACAGTAATATGATTTGATTGACCTCAGCAGCTTTCCTAAGTGAATGAACTGCTTGTGTTGTAGAATGTCGTTATTTTGTGCATGTTGAGTGACGAAGCTCTTTGTCCACACAGGTGCCAGATGTTGGTGCGGCCAGCCCTCCACCCACAACCATGGATGCAGACACACAGCAGTTCTTCAACATTGTGGAGCACATCAAACTGGACATGCACTCCATCGGGGAGAAGCAACAGATGCTGCAGGTTTGGGATACTGGCATCGATCAGTCAGATTTTGGGCATGTGACACTGCAACTTGAAAGAACAAGACACCATGTTTTGGATGTGCTGGTTATTGCTGCGATGTACTGAAGACATCGCATTGGACTTGAGGCAGAATTTGTGCCCATACTGGTGCACATGGAGACTGGTGTGCCTTGCAGCAAGCTGGTGTACTGCTGGACCACTGTTGTTGGTGTCAGTGTTGCTTTCAGCACTGTGTATCAAGCTCAAGGATTGAGCCCAATGGAATGTAGGTAGCCTGGCAATGCTCCACTGACACGGTGTGGTGTTGACATGATGAGAACATCGGTTTTGTTGGCTTTGTTGCAACCCCAACACCACTGCCACAACCACCACCACCAAAACTGCCAAGTCCCGAGTCCCCCAAACCCACATGCCATGCACAAACCCACTCATCGTCTCCCAGGGGCAAGTGTCTAGTTTTGTGATTCGCTTGTGACAAATGTGAGCACCATAAGGCATACACCCCACACACGAACTCATACCCCCAGGGAGTGAGGTTATTGTGCAGCTCCCCACAATCGTGAGTTGTGTTGCAGTGTAGTCTATGCTCATTGCCATGGGTGTGGGGCTCAATCATACACTCCTGTGGACATGCCTCTCGCATCGCTGTTGCAGCAGGGCGAGACCATGAGAGCAGTGCAGAACATGCTACACATGTAGCAACGGCATCTTACATGTACAAGCACTTGTTGCCTCCAATTTCCAAATGCTGTTTTTCCCCATTGTGAAGCAGGCTTCTTGCAGTAATTGTCCCCTGCTGCTGCCCAATTTAGGCAAGTAAGGCTATGGCAGTGATTTGTCACAATTGAGCCCTTGGCAATGGTTTGCAGCTTGTGTCGTTTGCATGGTACCCTTTCCGCATGCAACGCATGTTTTGCTTGTGCTGAATTCAGAATTGTGCTGCAGGACATGCACGAAAAGAGCAAGACCATAACCAGGTCTGAAGAAATGAAGAACTTGAGGGAGCAGATGCAGGACACGATCAACGCTGTCAGTAAACAGGCACACTCTGTCAAGGCCCAGCTGGAGCAACTGGACAAACTGAATTCGGCTGCCATGTACAAGGTGAGGCAGTGACCTGTATGCATGGTGGTATGCATCCTATTGTCCTTGTTCAGAGAAGTGCAATGCAGGGTGGTAACCATTGTGGAATTGCACATGCCCAACCGCTCAATTTGGTAAATGTGTTTCTTTTTGGTTGCGCATTTGCTGATGCGCGTGTCAGGGGCGTTGCACTATTGGCATGCACATAGTACCACGATTGCTCAAAGTATCAACAGAACTATTTATGTATATGCAGGCACATGTAAGGCTATGAAGCGCAGTGTGCGCATCTGCAGTGCATTGTGCCATCTTGAAGGAACTAAACCGACAAAAGTTGAGAGGCCAGTTGTACCTCTGTTGCTTCATGTGGGATGTTTGGAATAACATCCGGCATTGCCCATGAAAATGCCATTGCGATGGCTAGAGCCATCAGGAGAGGCCCCCAGACCATATTTATTATTCCATCACTGTGATCTCGTTTATGTGTTGTTGGTTCCCAGTGGCACCTTGTGTTCCAGCCCCTGGACACAGGGCTCCCTCAACAAGCTAAGAATATGCAATCGAAGCTCGACTGCTGATCCTTTGTGGCCTGGGCAGCATGCAACAACTGCTCCTTGTCTCCCCTCTTGCAGGATGGCAAACGACCCATGCTGTATGGCACCCAAACTCTACATGTGCCTGGCTGTACATTGGATGTGAGTAGCATGACTGTTTCCTGCAGGATGGGGGTTCCTCTGAGGCCTCGTCCTCCTCTCGTATGAGAACGTCGATTACCGCTGGCCTGAAAAAGCGGCTAAAGGACTGCATGGGTGAGTTCACAAGCCTTCGAAAGCGGGTGCAGCAGGAATACAGGGAGGTTGTGGAGCGGAGGGTGTTTACAGTGACGGGGCAGCACGCGACGGAGGAGCAGATCGACCGCATGATAGAGACTGGGGACGGGGAGGCGGTGTTCCAGAAGGCCATTCTGGATGCAGGAAGGGGCAAGGTGTGAACTGTCATCGATGCAGTAATGATGTGAATTCTCATCACTTCAGTTACTGGGAATGATCCCTTGGAGGAAAGGAGAAATTGAAATTGGTGAATTGTTAGAACTGTTGTGCTTCCTTGCTGAGACCCTCCTGTCTTGGTTGCAAAGCACAAATTCAAACTGACAGATATGACAGAGCTCTATGCCAGAAATTTGAACATAAAGGCTGCATAACTGAAATTCTGAGGCCACTGTGTACCCTGTGGGACATTGGGGCACAGTCCAGCTGAGCCACATGGTGCATGTGGATGTGCATTTGCATCGGAACAACACACTGTTGGTATCTTTTCTTGAAGCATGAGGTTCTGGGGCCTGACAGAAGTCGAGGCACTGCGGTTGTCGCCACATGACACTGTTCTGTTTCATGCACAAGGTATTTATTTGCAACACAGAACTTGAGTTGGTGTTGTTCCTTGCAGAGCTTGCTACGAAAGCAAGGAACGATCAAAAAGTTGTTCAATTCACTTCAGTTAGAACCATGCAATTGCTGAATAGCAGATTGGATGCACTGTTTGAGAAGCATTGCCTTTCGTGCAGTTGTCACATTTTGTGCCCTGTTGTGTGAGCAGGCCGTGCAAGTGCTGGCTGAGATCAAAGAGCGTCAGAGGGCTGTGCAGGACTTGGAGCACAGCCTATTGGAGCTGCACCAGATTTTTCTGGACATGGCCGTTCTTGTGGAGGCTCAGGGCGAAATGCTGGACAATGTAGAGAAGCAGGTGAGCACCATCTACGCATTCCTAGTGTCCTGCTCAGTCATCCCTTGTGCTGGCACTGTCAGTAATTGTAAGCCCTTTCATCACGATTGCCTGCTTTCATGGTTGTGAAATCCCTGGAATAGACAAGTATTAGCCTTGTCAAGAAGGCTGTAACAAGCAAATCTCTTGCACCTCACTGGGAGTTGCACAGGGTAGCAAGAACCAGCAGTTTTTTGGTCGAATGGCCCCCAATGATGATTCCTTACAGATATTGCGGATGGAATGAAATGTAGTGTATTGTCCCATTCTGCTTGCACAGATCCTAACCTTCAAAAGAGTTCAGTAGTCCATCTGCGAGCGGACTACAGATTGCAGTCAACTGAGCCTTGTGGATTGGGGTAGTTTGCTCCCAAGTCTACTTCTGACAGCTCAGAGTGCAGACCTTGCTTGCCACAAAGCCACAAACTTGACCCCAATGATCTGGCAGGGTGTGCTGCTCCCTTCCCTGCAGGATTCATTGCATGGCTGCACAGTGTAGAAGCCTGTGCATTCCCTTTGCCAAAACACTACAATCGTTGCCACTGCATTTACTGGGGTTGTGCAGCACCACTGGCCATCAGCAGCACTGACTGGGGCCTCCCGATTGCATCTGCTCAGGTGGAGAAATCCGTGGCATATGTAGAGTCCGCTGTGAAGCAGCTGGTGCAAGCGAAGAAATCCCAGGACAAAACACGCAGGCTGTACTGCTGCATGGTCATATGCCTGTTGCTTATCATTCTTATTGTAGTCCTTGCGCTTGTCAAGCCAGGCTTCGGTTAAGTCAGCGGTACCCTGTATTCCATTCGATCACAGGCCTTGCCCACATGCCCATGCCCATGTGCCACAGGGCATGGGCCCTTTGTGCCCTGTTGGCATTTGTTCTGCAGCAGTATTGGCTGTGAACATTGCTGGTGTATGGCCGCAAAACTGTGCAGCAGTGTATCAGCTGTGGGCAGTGCTGATGAGGAGGTTGGGTTTGCACCTGCCCAGGTTGAAAAATCAGTGGAATATGTACAGTCTGCAGTCAAGCAGGTGATCGAAGCGAAGAAGCTGCAGGACAAAACGCGCAGGCTGCGTTGGTGCATGATCATATGCATATTGATTATCATCTTGATCGTTGCCCTTGCAATCGTCAGACCAGGCTTCAAGTGAGGGCAGTTGATCCTTAGGTGGTCGGTTGCTATTTTGTGCATCTTGGCCACGGGCCTTGTGTGTCGGTGGGGGCAGTTGTGAGACATTGCTTTGATGTCTGTCGTTTCGATCCGCATGGGAGGGGGTTGCAGCTATGGGGTTGATGTTGATGAGTTTGGCTGCGCGTGTCAGAAAATTTTAGCCACAGAGGAGGCTGAACGAAAGGGCCTAATCGCTCCCACCGTTGAACCACCTGGCTGGGTGATAGGAAAGGGTGGAACCCGGAGGAGGGGTAGATTGTTTGATGGGCAGGGGTTGGGCGTGATGGATGCACGTCTGACTCGAAGTGCTGGCTCTGGGGAGCAAGAACAGAGTTTTTGCGACAGCTTCGCACTGGAAATAACGAGAAAGTGCTCGAAACTAGCCTTGTGTGTGAGGCAGCGGCCCGAGCAGGTGATACTTTGGATAATGTGGTGAGGAGGGTGGGCTGTGAGGGTCAGTGACCCCATGTATTTATTTCATGGTACAAGCTCCAGTCTATAATTAGCCGCTTTCTAGGGCTGGCTTGTGCGCATACAGTAGTCTGGTCTGTGGGTGCTCAAGAGTGTGGGCATGAATGCCCACGGACATCTATGAGGACGCTGGAGAGACCATTGAATGAAATTCATGTGCAGCTCTGAGCGAAGCTGCTGCATGTGTAGAACTTCTTCATCTCGAGCAATGGCTACTCAATCCAGCACGTTGTTCAAACCCATTATTCTGTGGATATTGCGCCCATCCATCGGCTTCCATCCTCCCCCCTTTGTCACGTCCCTTGTTCCTCGACTGCCATATCCTTTTGGCAGCAGTTCTTTGGTTCTTTTGCGGTGTTCTAGTCAATTATCGCTAATTCTGGAGGTGCAGCACGCAGTACCTAGGGCAGCGTTCAGTGGTGTTTCTTGCAACACGCCTCAAAAACCACCTATTGTTCATCGATGATCAATGCTGTGCGTTCCATCATTCGTTGGAAATGTATGGCTGTGCAAATAGCAACACACATGGGGAAAACAGCCGTGTGGTCACTGCTTCAGCTACGGCTGTCAAGAGTGCTCCTATTATATTATGCCGATTGCAGCATGGTACCACAATAGACACAGTAGCACAATTTGCTCGTATCGTCCCTCGCAAACGTCCATGCAATGCCCCGAGCTATGGGGTAAGCTCTCAAGACTTGCTTGGAGTCCCAACTACCCTTCCCTTGCTGCCACATTGCCCAACATTAACTTCATCAAGAAACCGAAACACCTTGCTGAGTGAATATTTCTGCAGGCTGTTTCTGTATTGTTACACCATTCTTAGTAAATGGGGGCAAAAACGAGAACGATGTTCAAAGACGAGCACAGATGGAAGAATCCTTGGATGCACTGTTGCATAAGTAACAGATGACGTCCATTGAATTACATGCAGGGGTGGTACTCCGCGCGCTGGACCAACAAGGCAGTGTGGCAGTTTCACAGTACTCCCGTTCAGTGGCCGCGTTTGTGATCTGAAAATAGACAGCAATACATTTCCCACTGTACTCGCAGCAGTACATGTGGCTGTCACTGTATTGCAATCAACATGAGTCATTCAGACTGGGATAGACCACTAAATACTCCTGTACTCCAACCCTCGCAATCAATAGCTATTCCAGGACCTTCCCATCACGGGATTATGTAACATCCTGTCATGAAGTCATGTATTACATAATATCCATGCACACTCAAACAAAACCCACCCCAGCATGCTCACAGGGTCACTGGCAAGCATACCGCAATCTGGGTCTGGTCAGACTACAGAACACTTTGACCCGTCCACGTGTTGAATGCCAAACAACACCACATAAGTCGTTATTTCCCGTTTACACAGTGCTGAGCTTCGGGAGCCCCTTAGCAACATGCGTTCCGCCATGCTGCACAAGTCAACCAATTCTCCACCAGTCAGACGAGAGATGCCACAGGCCGCACGGAAAGCTTGTTACAAGTGGGGAAGACTTGCACAACAACGGGAAAACCCATGGACTGGGCACTGCGCTTAAACGGCTTGTTCCGTCCTGTCCAACCCTTATCTTCACCCCGTATTATTCCAACCCCTTATCTGTGCATTCTATACCCACACAACGGGCAAGTTCTCACGAAAACACCCGCAGCTGCTACGTTGCTCCCCTGTTACCAACCCATGGGCCCCATACCCCTTTTCCAATCCGGGGGAACCTCCGAGAAGGGAAGATGCTATGTCGATATGTTGCGCTTGGCGTCAATTTGACGTTAAGCACAGAACCCGCCCCCCCACCACCCACCCCTCCTTAGCGTCAATCCTTATGTCGAAGCCAGGATGACTCAGCATCATTACATAATGGTGTGGAGCCAATTCGTTATGTTTCGAAGAAAGAAATACAGGCAAAACCGCAGCAATTTTATTGGGCTAAAATTTGAGATGCAAAATGCCATAGCAGATGATGTAGTGCAGTTTTGAAGACAGCCAATCGAGGTTTTATGGGGCCGTTTGTGAAGACTGAACGCCAAAGGGAAGTTTTGAGACAAGTCGTACGTTTGTTGCCGCTTTTCAGCAGCTTTTGGGGTATCTTCCAAGCTTATGTCGATTTTATTACAATTACATAATCTCTTAGTGTCACAGGTCCGGACCCCCCACCCCCCCACCCCCCCCCCACCCCCTAGCGTCAAATCGACGCTAGGCATAACAATTTCGACATAGTGTCTTCACTAAGCGTAACAAAATCGGCATAGCATCTTCCCTAAACGGGACGAGCACCAGTCGTAAGCAAACGCTCTATCTGGTCGTCCTCCAACGTCCCCCACCGAGCATAGTAAGATGCGCCCTACCCTTCACTATGCCACATATGCCTTGTCTGGCAGACAACGTTGAACCGCTCGCCCAACTGCACCTTGGAATTCATTCAGGTTTGATAGGCGGGCGAGTAGCGCACTCGCACAATGCCTTAGTTTGAGAACCACACCATGATTCTATCCTGAAGCTCGCCGAGGGGCAGCCATGAACCAGCTGCCCTATTCGCTGCCGCTCTTCCAACTATGTTGCATCCCTTTCTGTCCGCCTGCGGGCCTCCGTGCAGTTCCGCAGTCAACAACGGCACTCCAGTGAGAAAAAACTGTATTCCCACACTCACCTCCTGGTCGTGGAAGGCCTAGGCCCTCTCGTCCTATTGGTGGATGTTCACTCTCGGCTCTATGACCTCCATGAGCAGGAGGAAGATCGTGTCCTAGTCTGCAACGGTCTTGTTGCGGCAGATGGGGCGGCGAATCCACCAGAATATCAGCCCTTTGGGCGGCCCCCAGAAGTGCCACTCCATTATCTAGCACCCGGCTTGTGCGAACTCCCATGCCGCTCTCGGCGCCACACGCTCAGGGCCACGACCCGACTGCCATGAACGTTTCGGCTTCGCACGGCGTTGTGTGCAAGCAAAATAGTGCCCGCGTGCTGCTTCTGCGGCGTCCTTCGTTGCCACGTCCCGTGAGTCAGACGGGATCCCGCTGACTACCCTTGCACGGGTCCCCGGGGTCGTAACTCCCTGCTGCAGCACTACATGCGCATTCCCAGTACCGTGGGACATTGCGCCGCATCTTTCCGGGGCTCTGGCTGTCCAATCAAACAGTACTCGTCCCTTGACCGAATCAATGCGGCCCCATTTTCATGCAGTGATCCGCGTATTTTGCAGCATATTGCTGTGTCTTTCGTGCATCCACACGTGAGCGTTCGAAACTTCTGAAACACTAATGATACATGCTTTCTGTTTGCGACTGAAATGGTGGCATGCTCGGGCCATCCCATTCTGTGAGGTCATCGGACATGGTTGTGAATGCACCATGCCGAGCACCCTTTGGGCAAAGATGGCTGTAAATTACAGTCCATATTGCGGTAACTCGAATTGTACGTTGATGAATTTAATGTCAGGCGACGTCGCACTATTACAGATATAATTAAACAAACAAGAAATAAACATATTGCTCATTGCTTGCTGGATGAATGAGAATAAACCGTACTATGCAAACGTCAAGTGGGTGATTAGGAGGAAGAAAAGGAGGGACAGGAAGCGACCACCCCCTTCTGCAGTATCTTTCGTCCCTTTTCTCAGCCAAGAGAAAACGAATAATGTACCACAACTTCGATGAAATCGAGGGTACAAAGCACCACTCCATTCCACCACACTCCACTGTACTTGGCCACCAGCCTGACTTCAATGCGACCCTGCGCCACCAGGGCTGCCCCCACAAGCGCAGCTGCCCTCCCCGTCCTCCCTCACACCGCTCATGTAATCCGGGTGGCGCTCCGCCCTCAGCACGGCCCCCAGAATGACGAGGGCGGACGCCTTGCACAGCACCACGTTGTACTCCGGGCAGGCGGGGTGCTGCACGCAGCCCGGGCAGCCCGTGGGCTCCTCGCAGGGGCATTCGGCCACGAGCTTGTAGGCGCGGTCCAGCAGGACGCCAAAGAGTGGCGCTGCCGTCTTTGCCAGGCCGATGCCGCCCGGATTGTTATCGTATACCAGGATGCGCTCGGGGCGGAAGCGCATGGCCTGCGGGTAGTCGCACTCCGTGGCCATGTCCCTGGGGCCGCACATCATGAACAGCGGGATGACATTGAGGAGGGCGTGTCCGGCGCCATGCAGGCCCTCCCGCCAGGGCAGCCCGCGCTGGTGCACCTCCTTGCGGGCGGAGTGCGGGACGCGAATGTAGGCGGCCTGGAGGGGCAGCGCACCGATGAAGAAAAGCCGTTAAACTAGGGGAAACGTGAAATTGCGGCAAAAAGCGACATATTTTCCAAACAACACGGCACTTTATCTATTTCGACATATGAAAATTATGCGAAACGCGGGTTTGGGGGCTGCAGACGGGTTTGGGGGCTGCAGACAAGGGTTGTTCAGTTTGCAAACGATGCCTGCAACGCGATGTTGTGCACGCTGCGAAAGCACACATCGGAAACACCACTGCAAGGCCAAGCACGGAGGAGTGTACACCCCTGTTTTGATCTATTCTTATACCATGACTTATTAGGGAGTGCCCGGGGCAACATTTTGTGCGAGCATGTTAGTACCTTCGGTTGGCGCAGGAGCAACGTCACTGGCCCCGTCATTAGGGCGACCCTATTGAGCTGATGTTATCGGGTATGAGAGGAAACGTATTTCCTCTATAGCACTGAGGCGGAACGCACCTAATCTTCAACGTTTGTGATGGTCTTGTGTGTGCAATGACGCCTCATTACGATGCTGCCCACTTTGACAACGCGATGTAAGTTTTCGCACGCCCAGTGGATTTGAAGGCATCCCGTGAGAAGTGACCTCATTGGTCCCACAGTCAGCCGAACGCTGCAGGGGACGCGCACAGCATTGGACATTGGGCGGACCCTCAGTGCCCAAATGGTTGTCCTAGGTACTTTGGAGCCAGTTGAGCAGGCAATTCGAGTAGCCGACTTTTGTGGCAGTCCTGTGAGTGAACGCGGCCGCCAATTTGCCTGCTGCAGTCGCAAAACTTGCGAACGGGCCAGTTCAACTTTGGCTCTCTGCTGGCTCTCTGAGTTGCGCTCAGCCAGCAGCGTAGCGCCTTTCCAGCAACCACGAACACAAGGGACACACGCCTTCCAGTTAAATGCACTACTGCACATGCTGACCCTTTCTTCGAAAGGGTCTGGTGCCTCCCCCTCCCCCCGATGAGCTTCGCTGCAGTGGTGTAGGACGCATTCTTTGAGCACGAAAGCATGGTCTCTAGGCCTTGGATACTGGCGTTTCCGATGATCGTTTTATGGGAAATATGCATGTACAATCATGGCCGACATCGTCTTGCAGGTGCAAGGGTTGTGTTTTGTCTTTCCCAGACAATCCAATCAAAAGACGCAAGCACGGGGGCCAAACAAGTCCCAAAATCATGTGACCCCTGCTTGTCTATAACTCTTTTTGTTATCATTTGTCGAAAACGAGCACAGCAAAAAACTATCACCATCTGCTATTCAGGCAACGCCAGCCGTTCAGGGCATCGACATTCCTGTCTTCCAGTGCAGCGACATGGCAGCATTCACAGGCAGGCCACGACGCGCCCAGGCACAAACCAGAATGTGCCAATGAACAGCAATCTCACCTGCGTGTCGAATTGGGCATCTGGGAGGAACAAATCAACGGTGTCGAAGACCACATTCGATCCCTGCCATATCCGGTGGAAGCCAATCCACCTCGCCGTCACCAAAGCCTCGGCGCAAGAGGCGCTGGTTTTCGGGTACGCCTCGGCCGCAGGCCCCATGGTGTAGGCAATGCGAGAGCCGATCACGTGGACGTCCAGAAAGTCGCGAGTCTTTGTGTAGTACTTAAGGTCGGCGGGGCGCACATGGGCGACCTTCTTCACGAGGTCAAGCTTGGTGCATAAGTAGGTTCGTCCCTGGCAAGGACAAAACGATGGCAACGGTTTCAAGCTGATCATTGAAAGGAGACATTCTTGCACAGTGGATACAGAGGAGCGCTGCAGGTGCGATCCCTTTGGGGATGGTACGCAAGTCGGATGGACCTTTTGTCCCATCCAGCCATTCCCTGTTCCGAGCCCTCTGCCCAAGCCGTGATAAACACAATCGAAAACCAAATGTGACGGGTGCGCGACATGCAGAGTATCTGCATCGAGAGATTTATTTATTCTGTTGCAATAAACTCATCAGATTATACGGGCTGCTCAGTGTCCATAGATTGGACTGCAAAATGTGCAAGATACCTAATCCGTTCGTGATTCAACAACTGTTGGGATTGACAGGTGAGCCTTGGGCTGTGGCACCATAGAACAAGGTGACAGACTCGACCAATACCAATCTTGGATACGTGCAAAATATTAGTGATAAAGGTCAAGCTTGTCCTTAAGGAGATCTGCTTCCTCATGGCTACTGCCAACAACGTTTCTGCACCTTGGCCATCGTGTGGAAATAAAACCTACGGCATTTACCGTTCCAACTTTCGATCAGACGATTTCTTCTGGGCTGAGTCGCTTCCGCGGGATGGAGAAACATATAGCGCTCCGGCAGGCGATGACAGATACTGTAACTGATCTCCTTTACGATATTTGACTATTTTCCCACCGATTTGATCATCAGTAATGGCGACGAGGGAAGAGAGGAAATCCGTCCCATGCGGGCTCGACAGGGACGGACACTGGAAGATCAGGGGGAAGAAATGCAGCATCTCCTTACCTTCAAGATGTCGACATAGCGGCTCCGAGGTAGCCTGATATACTGCGACTGACTCCAGACAGGCATTTATCAATGCGACATGCTTGTCGAAGTGTTTTGAAGTGTATTGATGGCTGTGACAGTGGTAGGGCGCGATTCAATTCAACTAGGGCTGCCACATTTCTACGAAATGTGGTGGAGCAACTGACCTGGAACATATACACTGCCCCATCGTAAATGTCGTAGAACGCTTTGCTTTCCTCGATCTCCTCAATGATCTGTTCTTCGGACGCATCGTTCACAATAGCGAACCGCTCCGGGTCGATGGCACGTAAGCTGACGCCAGAGGCTGGATGTGCACTGCGGCCTGAGTAAAGCCATTGTCCCTGACCAAGCTCAGCTCTGGCTGGACGAGAAATTTGACCTGCACGAAGCGCAGGAACCAAGCCATGTATCACGCAAGCACAGGGCCTATCAGAAGACTCAAAATTTGAAAGTTGAATGGTCAATCCAATTTTCAAATTAGTGAAGTGATGAATCCGCAATACTCGGAGAGAATGGGGACCATTACGTACAGAGACAGGCACCGAGACGACATGGGCATTCCTCCTGGACTAAGAACGGAACTGCTGCACTACAATGCGAATGCGCTGAATCGGCATGGTGCTGCCCGTGTCAAGCAATTCAATGAGAGGAAAGTCTGTGACAGTCGGAGTGGAACCTGCCTGCAGGCTCACGCACCAATTTCTCTAAGGCGCTCAACTGCAGCAGGCAAGGCACCACCAAAGAAATCCACGTCCACCTGCTCATCAAGGGGCAGCTCGTGAGCGGCACACGCCAAGTGCTCCTGCAGCACGTTGGCATTGTTGGCGTCTATCTGCACGTGTTCTATGGACCGGCCAAACAATTGCTGGGGGTGTCGCATAAAGTACTGGTCCAGTGGGCTGTCGAAGGCCAGGACAATGGACAATGACACCTGCTCACGGCGACCTGCCCTCCCCGCCTGCTGCCACAGCGACGCCACAGATCCTGCAACGCCATGAGTGCCAACATTAATTGTGTGACATGCGTGGGCACGTCCCAAAATGTGGTGGATCCTGATATGTGCGCTGTTGCTATTGCTGTTACAAAAGCATCTGCACAACTTCAAGTGCTGCTCTCAGAGTGTAAGTGAGTGTGGTATTCGTCAGCATGCCGTATGGTCACGGAATTTCACTGTTCCTCGTCGGAGGAACGCAGTGGATAAGAAAACGCGCAACCAAACGGTTCCAAGCAAACAGGGTTCGTAGATTTATGCCTGCTGTCCCCTGTCAGCTGCTAGGGGCGTGCTTTCTCTATTCATGACAAATGCAATCCAAAGACTTTGATTCATCAGAGGCCACGGCTAACCTGGGAACCCCATGTGCAAGGTAACGTCAAGACTTCCAACATCCACCCCGAGTTCCAAGGCATTTGTTGCTGCCACGGCCCGTAGTTGGCCCCCAAACAGCTGTGCCTCTATCTGACGGCGTTCCTCAGGGCGGTATCCTGAGTGGGAAGGCAACACATACGGTCAGTGAAATACTCTGATGACTTCTGTCCATTAGAACAGAGGCAGTGTAGTCAAAGGCAGGCCTCTGTATCCACAAGTCAATAAAGGGCAAAATAGATGGCGGAAGCTGGGTCTAATGGAGTTGTCAACCAACTGACGAAATGGCACAAAACTGAAGGTGGTGCGGTGGGTAATTATACTATGCCCCCAAGGGCTCAAGTAGCAGAAGCATATGGTATTGCTAAATTGAGCCCATGCTGATACCGCAGTTCTCCTGAGCATTTCATTACGGTCATTATTTCATATCTGGAACGTTCTTATGCAGCAATGACAGCCTTGATGCAGGTAAACCTGTTGGGGCACTGGTAGACAACAACACGGCAACGCTAATGCATGAAAGTTGGAATATCTTCATGTGAATGCCAAGGCTGTATCGATAGGAGAGGACGGGCAGCGCTGCGGCGTTGCTGTGCAACAGGAAAAGGCTGACATATGTCCAGATGCAGTTATTGACTGGTGTGGCTGCGCAAACAGGTTTGTAGCATTAATGGAGGATTCAACAAGTGATACGTCATAACTACATCAAATGGCATTCACAGTAAAGACATATGCTACTTGCTGTGTCAAGAATCGGAACGGCGGCAGAAAACATTTACGTTTCCTTGATGCAATCCCCTGCTCGCTGATTCCCAAGATTAAATCCCCAACAAACAGCACCTAGAGCTGTTTCAACCATCCGCAAATCAACTCGTGCGGAACCACACCACTTCCAGCATGCTGGAGAGTGTGGCAAACGAAGGAAGATTGGGCTTCCAAAGCTCATACCTGCTCGATACACGCAGAGCGAGTCCGCCAGGTGAGGTGCTGTGCACCGCAGAGTTTCCCGTGTATACGCCGTCACCAACTCGCAGAGCTTCCGCGTGTTACAAAAAGCAATTGTGCGAAGTCCGTGCTGAATGCACTCCGCCTGTGCAGCACATTGCCAGTCGGATAAGGTAGTTGCCATCTTGCCTGGCTCACACTCAGGCGAACTGCCTGACGGTGGTCGGCAAGCTCCATTTGCCCCTACAATGGGCGGTAGAATGCAGGCGCCACAGTCATTTGGTGGCCAACAGGGTTTGAACTAGTGTCTAGCTCACCAACAGCAGACTCATCTCCACAATCGGGCTGCCTCTACGCTTGTCAGGAGCAATCCCAGATGTACCGTAGTGCGCCTTCCATTCAGGCCCCGGAAGGCGGCTCTGAATTTCCTCCTGGATCTCTGGCTTTTCTCCTGTGACCTGCTTTCCTCTGAAAATCATTCCACATTGTGAGAGACCCCATAGAGCCTATGTTCTGGACAGAAAGGAAAACAGTCAAGAAAGGCAACTTCCTACTGAGCAGGCATCTGTGGGAGAATTTCCCACGCCGCAGCAGGTGAAATAGAAATCTTAGAGCACTTAAAGGGTAAATCAAATTCATGAATACAGAAATTGCTGCTCGCTGTAATTGCATGACCGAAATATAGACGTGTGGCGCAAACTGCAAGTGCCTTGTCCCACAAAGAAGGCGTCAATCCTGTGCAGAAATCAAACAACACAATGGCATGGTGTTGCTCCATTGGATTGAACTTAAAATTAGTTTTCCAAGCTGATGAAAGACCTTGTGCCACAGGCACGATAAGCCCTTGTTTCTGTGCAACGTTGTAACAATAGCCTTGTGGTTAATATTTCTTGGAACAAATGTACAGATATAAGTATACACAAGTTTAAAGTCAAAGATATATAAGTTTATATATGTATACATATATACATTTATTCATTTATTTACTTCTATTTTATTTACTTTTGGAACAAGAGAAAATCAAGCACAGCTACAAGGGCACCGTGTGTCGCAGCCACCTTGTTCCCTTCCACATCATCTGGCGTCTCGGGTGGGGTGCGCTGGTGCACACAACATTTTCCAGGCAGGTGCTGCCTTCCACACTTAGGAGCCTCCGATCAGCAGATGTCTCAGTGGGATCCGGCGCAGCGCTGCTGGATGCCAAATTTCCACCGACCACCCTGGCCGCCAAAGCCTCCGCATCGCAGTTGCTGTCCCTTGCTGGGGCTTCCTTCCCACCTGTTGACAGATCTTTACCACGGCGGTCGCATTCGTAACTTGGCCCCCCTGGTTCTGCACAATCCGAGTGCAGTTCTGTTACATCATCTTGGCCTGCCCTTTGATTGTCCCTCTGACAGACGCTGGAAGTGTCGCATGAGTTGGCACCACTCGGCCCACTGCTGATGCCTGCGAGCTGAGAACGCGGCAGTTTCTTTCCCGATGTCCCAGATGCGCTGACGGTTACCTGGACAGCAAGGCAAGCGGATCACATGCACTGTACGCACATACTCAGTTCATATCACGTAAGGGATGGTTCATACACAAGCAAGCTCAAGGCCATTGCGCTCTACAATTATTGCCGCTGAAAATCTCCCAGTTCCAAAACCCTTTAGGCTGCAGGCACGCGCAATTAGCCGAGGCCTGCACAAGGGCGGAAGCAAGGGCGCTGCCGTTAATTGCAGTGTGCTTTTGCTGCCTGGGAATGGCCTATTCGTTCTCGACGGGAATGTGCTCACTGAGCAGGTCGCTAAAGTCGCAAACTGTGAAAGAATAGCACGCTTGGAGTCCCATCAGCAACCCGTACCCCAGTCTTCACTCCGCTACTGCTCTGCTGCGCCCGCTTTTTCCCTATTGCAACAGCAGCCAGCCAGTCGGCTTCCGACATTCCCCGAGCGGCCACGAACTGAGAGCCTCGACTTCGTTCCTGAGCAGCCAACCCATATTGATGCATAGCTACAGCAACACCAAATTTCAACACAATTGTTTACACGTTAGAAACACTCTGTCTGACAATGGTACACTTGTGGTTCTGTAACGCCTCGGGTCTGTTGCTAAGCGCGGCTGCTAAAAAGCAGTGATTGAGATGCCTCAGTTTCCATGTGATGACATGATTGTTGAACACAATTGCAACAAAACATTCACAGCATTCCAAGCACGGTGCAGGAACAGTGGTCTGCAATAGTGAGCCCAACGCCTTGCACAGATTCACAATAACGAGCAATGAGGCTGCATTGTAGTGGTTGCTCTATCAACGAGCTCATGGGTATCTGCTAGAGGTCGGCAATAGGTTTGGAATGCTGGCAGGCGCCGTTAATCCAATTTCTTTTGGAAATTTTCGCCTATTTGGCGCCATTCTGTGGGTTAGTTTGGCAGAATTGGTAATTTTGGTGCCACCAGTTTTGGTTTGGAGCTGGTCGGCACCACCTTAGTCAATTCTTGGTCCTTTTTCGGTGTACAAGGTGCTCCGGTTGCCGCACTTTGCCATTAAATGGCATGCCATTAAGGCAACTTTTGACTTGGCACTATGCCTTCCTGCGCCACTGGAAACCTTTTCTACTCCCAATGCGGTTGGCAATTTTTCATTGATGGCCGGTTGCCCAGATGTTCCTTTGTTGTTGGGAGCATCTTCAAGGAAAATGCATTTGCTCTGAGCGTAGCCGGAGGTGCAGGGTTACGTGAGCATGTATTGTCGCCTCAAAGCCAGGCGCGGTAGCCCAGTGGGTTGCATACCGCACATCAAGCCCTTGGAAAAACAATGGTGATTCATGTCCAGTCAAGAGGTGTCCCCCATAGTGGACGACCCTATGTGACCGCTAATCATCATAAACAACACACCACAACAAATTTGTTATTTTAAAACGACGGAACACATTGTGATCAACACGATGCAATGCATGAGCGCAGATTCACACAACACACTCAAAAAAACAAAGGCACACTAGACGCACAGAAAATCAAAGGAACAGGGGACACACATGACACAACAAAGGCACCAGTCAAACCAAAAAAAACTTGGGAATGCGAATCCAGGGAAGAAGAAGAGTCACACAATGTGGTTGAGAATCGGCACTGGAAGATTTGCCGGCCGTTGCTCCGTGCAGCCTTGTGGTCATGTTGTTGAGCGCCGGTTCCCTCACATATTGCATTGTAGGGCGCCGTTAGCAGTCAGCACCCACCGTCCAAGGCCGCTTTGGGCGTGGATTTTATTATTCGAATGGCAAAACGGACTGAGTAGTAACCTTATTGCTAAGTGCGCCATCAGCAGATGTTCCCAAAACCATTAGTATCTATGGCACCTCGTGGCATTGGATCCGTGCAACGGGTGCCGTTAAATAACGGCCTGCAACGCCGACCTCTTTCGTATAACTGATTATATGTTCCCAGAACTCACATGTAGTTTACCTGATTGGCTTCCCGAATTTGGGCCTGCAATATCTTCCGCTGCTGTTGCTTGCTCATGCGCTCCCATTCAAGCTTGGCGTCCTTCTGCTTTGAGGGCTTGCCTTTGCTGTCCACTAGGGACGGATTCCACAAGGAAACATGCTTTGGGCCGCTGGGTGAGCCATCATGCGACACTTCCACGACACCCTGTACTCCCGCCAGCCGTTCCATGTGCTCCTGAACAACAGACGAACAACAACGTCGCTTGTTTGGCCTTGCAGGCTGGAATGCAATTGGAAAGCGATTCGACAGCTTCTGGCCGCAGTGCAAGCTTCCGCACAGCACAACGAAATATTTGCTACAGATTGGCACACAAAGAAAGAATGTTGGCCAACAAGCATGTCCAATCCTTTTGATCTGCAGCCATATCATCCATTGGCAGTTTGGTGCATTCATGGGCCCAATGCAGTCAATGCCACTATGGTTCGCTACCTACATAAGAAACACGGCCATCAGCAGACACACGACCATCGCGTGGCTGCCTCATACGGTACTGCAGCACATTCACCATCAATAGCTGCCATGCATTGTTGCGTTCATATAACAATTGGGATACGTGGACTATTGCACAGAATTTGGGCAAACAACAATGGCCCACAATGCCCTGCACCAATGTTGGCCATGTTGAACCGATTGAAGCTTCAGCCACTCATCCAGACAAGCATATCTGCAACCAGCATGTGGCGATCTGCACACAATTTTCAAGAGCCTCGCAAGCGTCCTAACACTTAGGTTGGAATCACATCCCAACAACCAACACCTTAAATATTGGTACAAAATTGATCGTCAGTTCGTAAATAGTTTCAATTTATTTTTGTCAGAAAGCTATTCTCCAGAAGAACATTTCCGGGCAGATTGCAAAGGTGTAAACACCGCCTTTCCATCACCTCGAAGTGCGAGAGCAGGACACTGTCAATTTTTGATAAATGCAGTGGAACAATGATATCGATCACACCTTGGCATTCGGCACTGTGGCCGATGTCATGATGAACGTCGGTGTGTTGCCATGCACTCGTTCACACACCCTCCTCAGGCGTCGGAGCACCATGGCTGTGTGGCACCCAAATGCGCCCTTGTACGCATGGCCCTCGTCTATGACCACGAATCGCAGCCTGGACAGCAGCCTGGCAAACTGTGTGTGCACTGGCAAGATGGAAAGGTGCAGCATGTCCGGATTTGTGATGAGCAGGTTGGCATTGGCACAGATCCCAGCGCGTGATTCGAACGGAGTGTCACCGTCATAAATCTACGTCGAAGCAGCAAGCAAATGATGCAAGTCTTGTCACAACGTGAATCAACATACAAAGAAAGCTGTGCAAGGTTCGCCAAGGCATGCTATACATTGTCATCCCCATCAAGGCGCCAAATCCCATTCTTTGAGCAGGCACATTTATTTAGAAACGAACAACCTTTTGGGCTTGACGAAGCATGTGAATTTCCTATTGTGTGGCACCAGGCCACGTCTCTTCTTTTAGGACAGGACCAAAACCTGAACTCCTAAGTGTGAAGCAGTGCATTGAAATAAAAATCACATTGTCATCTGACACCAGATTCACATTGCATGCAAGGAGGCATGTATTAAACCAAGGAAAATCCCACAATTCCATGTGCACCAGGCACGGCAGCTGTGGATACCCCGCTCACCTCTGCTTGGATGGTGTGCAGTCCTGCTGCTTTCATACACAACTGTCGTAGAGCCCTCAGCTGGTCTTGGGCCAGCGCCTTGGTTGGATACATGTACAGAGCGCATGCCGCAGGGTCATCCACCAAGGCTTGGAGAATCGGGATATTGTAGCACAGCGACTTCCCACTGGCTGTCGATGTGGACACCACGACATGATCGCCGGTCGTTGCTGCATCGATGGCCTGCGATTGATGACTGAACAGGCGCCTTACGCCCTGGGCCTCAAGGGCTTGTAGAACGTGGTCTGACAGCCTGGTGCGAGTTTTGGCGAAGACGGCTGACCTTGCAGGCATCGATTCCGTGTGGACGATCTGCCACAACACAGCAACAGCATTCTCATCATCTGCAGACATGCATACCAATCTCATCAATTTAGAAATGAGCTTGAACAGCCATGCGAATCAGCTACACTCCAATCTACCCACTGCAGCACTGGGAGCAAAACATTGACCACCTCACCTGGTCACTGTACCAAGTGAGCTGCATGATGTGCTCCAAGAATGCGCAGGCGTCCAGAGGCCTAGAATCTGTGCAAGGGATGTGGCGCTTCAGCAGGCTGGGAGGCCGCTTCGGCCCGTTACCATCCGTTTTTGCCTTGCCGAGTTTTTCCAGTTTCTTGGCTGCTTGAACAGCGGCACGGACAGTGACTGCTTCCAAGCAAAACTGTGGATGCCAGCGGCCTTCTTCCACAGGATCAAAATGGGAGCGCTCATCTCCTGTGGCCCCGCTTGTTCCTACACAAATCCCCATTGGCTCAATTTCGGCAATATAAACATTCGCTGCCCAGTCATAGATTAGGGGCCAACAGGTCTCTGCAGCAGGTTACCGAATTATGTCGATCGTGTTAATGACGAACACTAGAAAAACACACCCCAGCAGCTTGAGGAAGCCAGTACTAAGCACGGTTTAATCCAGCGCAAGTGTGTTCAGTCCCTGCAGTCATAGATTCAGAAGAACATGCAGATACATGGAGTAGCACGCTAGTTGAAGCTTCAATTTTCCATCTGTCTCACCAGAATGGGGTGCTGCTTCCCTGATTGCTGTACTTCTCAACAGGACGTCACTGCCTCTGAGAAAGTCCTCATGAATCTGGCCAACGACCTGGACAAGGCGTTGATGGAACGTTCTCCTACGTACATTGCTACCATAGCTCCTGTGCGGAGCACTTTCGCCTGGAGTACACAAGAAATTCCCCAATAGCTCCTGAGCCCCTTTCTGATTTTGCTTGGTATGCCCTGAAGACCTGCAACACCGATTACAAATTGTGTAATCAAGGTACTCTCAATGTGAGGGTGCCTAATGCAACCATGCACACAGTGCTGCAAAAATCCGGCACAAGGGGTGCACTTTGTATTTTCCTTCACACCCACGAGGTTGTAGGAGGTTATGGAAAAAGCAGTGCAGCAAATAACTGCTGTAGCATCGTTTTCATTGTAATTTCTGCCCTGACAAGCAAGATGGACCACCAAGCAATGACTTTGTCTGTTAATGCCCACAGTAGGACATACACAGGTATTATCACAACTCCAAGCACCACATCAGCAACTGTTCAACAAGAACCATAAAATAGTGCTGAGGAAATTCAAGCTCCACATACCCACCTCATTGGCGTGTTGAGTTCAACAATTAGTGTGCGAATGTCTCCCTCCAGCACAGTACCATAGCCATCTCTGATGTCTGCAAACCAAGATCGCAAATCTTCCAAACGAACATCTGCGCCAGGAACCCTTGGAAGCCTGGAGCCTGGCGAGAGTTCAGTGGTGGTGGCAGTATCCCATGGGTCCTTCGGCCTCAGTGCCTTGGCAGATCCTCCCCAGCGTACAGAGATAATGGTACTGAAGGATAGTCACAGGCATTCAATGTTCAAACCCCAACAGCACACTCACCATTACGCGATGCATCCACTTTCATAAATCAAAGTCTGCCATTGAAGATGATTGCATGCATAATTGTGTTGTTTCAAACATATACATATAAGCATTTCCCAAGAAAAAAAAGCAAACGATGGCCACAAAATGCTACAAGCTTGATATTTCATGAACAGCCAGGTCATAGTGTCCTGGTACACTGCCCCTCTATTGTGATATCCTGATAGCTCCACCAGCTTCAATTTCTAATCGGGGCTCCCATGTTGCATTCCAGAGAAGACCACACTCCCCAACAGCTCAGCATTTTGTCAGTCAATCCAGATAGGCTCCAGACGGTGTTCAATTGACACAAGTAGGCATGGCAGTGCACATAGCCCCCGCTCGTGGGAAAGCAATACTAGTAGCATCAAATCGTTAACCCGTGTCTCAATACCTGCACAGTTCGGCCATCGCCAAAATGTCACCATCAGAAATGCTCTGATCCTGGCACACGTCCCTCAATGCTGCCCTTACATTCAGCCATGTTGGCTGGATGTGAGTCCTCAGCAGGAAGCCACTGAGGCCATTCAGCACGCCAAATATGGATTCCAATCGTTTCAGGCTTGGAGGCAGAGGTAGGCTTGCAGGGTAAACTGTCCCATCTTGGCTGCTGCTCCCGCCTGCTGCATTGCTTTCAAGCTCTTTGCCTATCCGTTGCTTTTTCAGTTTGGGAACAAACTGCTGCTCTGACAGTCCAGCAGGGTAGCTGGTGTCGCTCACCTTGTTGTCTGGGCATCCAGATTTGGTCCCCGACACACATTCCAGTTCAGAGATCTGCTTTTCAGTTGCCACTGGTGTCTTGGCAATCTGGCACTCACTGAGTTCAACATTCAACTCCTCCCAAAGGTCGACTTGACATCGTTTTCTGGTGCACTCATTGGGCCCTTGCCCCAGATTCTCGTTCAGTAGTCTTGACTCTGACCTGTGCTCACCATCAGGTGCCTCATTGGAACCAAACGCCCCACGGCCAGGAACCTGGCAGTTCCCTTCATACCCTGTAGGCATGCTCAAACTGCAGGCGGGCGGCTCCGGCGTGCAGCACCTGTGTGGCTCCAACAGGGCATCAGGAATGGGCTGCGCATGTGCCAAATTGGCCTCAGGGATGTGCCTGTTGGTGGCAACCATGGGCTTCTGCTTCCTTTTGCCCTTCCTTGTGCCCACGGCACACTGCATGCATGAGATAGAAGGCAAGCATAGTTGTGTCAATGTGTACAATATTCAAATGCGAAGCAGTGGTGAAGACTAATTTAAGATAAACACAGGCCATGTGTCACAGGAGACAGCCAAATCAAGAACATGGGACAACCATCTTGCCTTCAAGCCTGAGATTGACAATATGACGACGACCACCGTTGCATGATACACTACATGGACATTCTGGAAGCCGAGAAAAACACGTTGATGCCTTGCATTGCTGCTTGAACATGATTCTGAATTCTGTTTTCATGGACTTCTGATTGGTTATCTGTCCTGTCACAGACATGGTGTCCTTACCAGAAAATCTGTTGGCTGCAATGGCAGTGTCCCCAAGCGCTGGTCCGAGCACAGGGAAGTTCCCTGCAATTGGTGCAAAACCAAACAGGTGTCGCAAGAATCCCGCAGCTTCGAAAACATTTGCTCTTCATATGATGGCGTCAATCTGTTAAAATTGACATCTCTCCAAAGTGTTTCAGTTGTCCGACTGACCAGATTTCAGAATCTTCTCTGGACAAACAACGAGAAAGGCAAGCTTCAGCAAGGGGGGTCGTACCCTGAGGAAGAGCGTGCAGCTTTGTAAGCTCGACTGTTGACGCAGTACGGCAGCCACAACGTCTCCCACCAGCTGTTCGCCACCCATTTGCAGGCAAATCTTTTCGCCCGACAATGTCTTCACTGTGACCTTCATCCTGTCAGCCACTTATTGTGAAGCCACCGGTCTGATTTCCCCGACCAACTGGCACAACTCAACGTGGGGATTGTGGTCCAGGCCTTGTTGGAAATCGTGAGTTTATCCCAACTCCATTCGTTCGTCAAAACGCGAGGTTTCCCCCGCCTGTCGTCCCGGGAATCGGTACGCCGCCGGTCCGCGGAGCCACCTCCCCGGTTGGCTGCCGCCCCGCCAGGCCCGCAGCAGATAGAGCACAGTGCTTGGAGCAGCGAGCATTTTGTTGTCACAGGTGTGTCTTGTGAATGCGTTTACGTCATGGACACCGCGACAGGTAATGCAGTGCAGGGTGCGATTCACATCCGACTGGCGGTGTTATATTTTTGACAAATCGTCGCTAGTTTGGTGGCCGGCGTGCCCAAAAACCCAAGCACAAAGAGACTGCAGTTAATTGTAAAAGGATGGGGGATAATCAAGCGTTCTTGGATGTCTGAACGTTCGGCAATGACGCCTGCAATGTGCAGGGTCACCACTGTTACGGCTAGAACTGATTGAGTGTTATAAATAACTGAATGTATGAAAAGATGACGAAGCACTAGGAATTACATTAAGGATGTTGATGAACGGACTGGGTATAAAGGACAGAACATCTGTTGTCCTTTTGCCTCGGCTGTAAACCGTTGCCGTGGACTTGAGCGTACGATTCCCGTTCAGGGATCGCCACCCCTCGACCCTGCCTGCCTTCGTCATTTGGCACCCGAGGCAGGGGGTGTGCAAGTCGAGACACGGACCAGGTTACCCTGTTGCAACCTGGGGCGGACTGAGCGCCGAGAGCACTAGAGTTCTACGTTGCCCAGGCGACGTTTCCGAGAAACTTTTGGGGATCGAAGATTCAAGACATCCATCGAACGGTTGGTTACGAAGGGACTCTAACGGCCCAGAGTCCATTTCGTGTGGCCCTTCTGGAGTGTTTGGACAAGAGCGCCAGCGGCGAACACCTGTCGCTAGGCGTGGGGGTCAGTTTTGTGTCAAGGTTTCCACCGTTGACTTGAATACGGAGCGAATCGTACGTTGTGAGTGAGTTCAACGGGCAGGGCGACAACGCGTCACTGGTGCGCCATAGCAGAGTGGCTCAGCCGTCGCCAAGGGGATCAGCTCGCTGACTGATTGAGCCTCCTCCCAAGGGACGACGCGCAGTGCGGCACCGCTCTCGTAGTGCTGTGCTATGGCTTGGAGTAGTACGACGTGCTGTGCTGCGACGGTGTCAGCGATTCATTGCGGTTGCTGAGGTGTCCAAGGGATCACGTGTTTGCTACACAGCACACACGTCCCCACAGCGAGGATTGCATGACAGGGAGTCAGTAGGACAGCGGCTTGTGTCAGCTTGTATCAGCTCATGTCAGATTGTGTCAGCTTGTGTCAGCCGACGGTGTAATCCTACAAGGTGACACATCGCGCTGATACAGTGGAGCGTCACTGCTGGTGTCAAGCGAGCAGCGTGGCAGGACGCGAGCGGCCCATGTGGCAGTGCTAGTACATTGAAGCAGCATGGTGCAGGTGTCAAACCAAAGGCACGTCCTTTCACAGGAAGGGGAGAGGACCCAGGGGTATGGGTCAAGCATTTCCTACGGGTAGCAAGGAGTAATGGCTGGGACACGTCAGCAGCAAGGATTGCTAATGCTGCTGTAGTTTTTGAACAAGAGGCAAAGACATGGTACAATAGTAGAGCAGCACATTGGGAAGGTGACGAACGTACATGGGATGAGTTTGAAGCTGCATTTGTCACGAGATTCAGAGCACCTGGGTATTTGGAACAGATCGAGTGTGCTTTGCATGACCCAAAACAAGTTGAAGATGAATCAGTGGCCTCTTATGCCGAGAGGTACAGATGTTTGCATGCTGAGCGGGAAGCACTTGATGGGGATGCACTTCCCATCAGTGCACTTCGACGTTATTGGGTCATGGGCTTGAAGAAGGAATTCCGTTTGGATGTTTTGAAAGCGGATATTCCTGATTTTGACCATGCAGTGGCAGAAGCCAAGCGAGTAGAGAAAGCAACGCTTCTCATAGAAGGGAAGTTGCCAGCAGCTGGCGAGCTCATGAGAAGTCGGGCCATGACGTCAGACAAAACCGACATTGATGGGCTGCAGCGAAACGTGGAGAAGTTGGCACAATCAATGAGTGAACTCACTGCCATGATGGTCACATCGATGGGCTCGAAAGACTGTGCAGAATCGAGTCCTTTTCCTGGAAATTTGGGGCCAGCCAATCGTGGCAGAGGTCGTGGAAGAGGTGGAGGACGCATGACTTGGAGAGAGAATCAAATTGGTGGCAGAGCTGACTACAACAACAATTGGCATCAAGACAATGACCAAAACAATGTTGGTAGAGGTCAGCCACTGACGGGAGCGAATGCAACACCTCTTGGAACGGCTGCAAATGTCCGAGCTGAGGACATTCGGGGTCATGATGGTCCATCTCAGAGCCATCAACGACAATCATCAGGTCGTTGTGTGAATGGCAAAGGAAGCCATGATGCTATGACAATGGAACTGGAAGCATTTGCTGGTGAAGAAGCGATTGAAGAGGACAAAGAAGAAGCAAGCAACAAAAGAGTCCGTGTCAGGCGTGTGGGAGAACGGAAGAAGCGTACTCCATTGACAGAAATTGTGTGTGGCCGGGGGAAACCCAAGTTCCAAGTATCTGAAGCTTTGTTCAATCTGCCGGTTTCAATTTCGCTGGGACAGCTGCTCCAAGTATCCCCAACAGTGCGACGTGAATTGCGCACTGGGATTGCCTTGGATAGGCCGAAGAAAGCAAAGCCAAAGGGAGAAGCTATGGATGTGGAAGGCAGCTCACAACCTCAAGGTATGAGCAATGCACAACCAGGCGCAAGTACACAACCAGTCACAAGAACACCAGAAGTGATGGCAGCTGAGGTCAACAAATTGACAACCGAGAAGGCAATCAGAATTGACTGCCACATTGCTGATCGGGCCTGCCAAGGGGTTATCATTGACCCTGGAGCAATGCTGAACTTGATGGAACCAGATGCAGTAAAAACGTGTGGATTGCGTGTTTTGGGTCCCAGTGGTGCTGTGGTGCGTATGGCAGATGGTGGGCGGCGACCTTTGCTTGCCTACGTCAAAACCCATGTTGATGTGGCTGGTGTCTCCACGGATGTTTTGTTCCATCTGATGCACACCAACGCAGGATACCCAGCACTTCTTGGTAAACCATGGTTGAGGTTTAATCAAGTGGTGTCATTATGGGGCACAGATTCGCATTTTATTCAAAACGCCGAGGGCAGCTTCTTGCCATTGGTGGGGGTACCGACACAGCTCACTGACTCTGAGCGTGTTTGTGAGTTGCTTGATTGCATTACTCATGAGACGGGAACAATTGCTGGCGATACTTCGGTGGCGAGTAGTGAGTCTGATGACTCCGATGATTATGAATCGGACAGCAAAGTGACCGAAGAAGAAACAGAATCACAAGAACTGGAAGAAGAAGCAACGGAAGGATATCTGGTGCTGGTGGGTCGTGAAATCGATTCTGATAAATGACATGGGCTGACCGAAATGCTGCCGGTACAAAATGAGCCCAAAGGAAAGAAGACGCTTTCTGAGTCAAGTGGCAACTCTGGGCTGGTTTATGATGGTTTCCCACCAGAAGTGGAAGCAGATGCAAAAGACGTCAGCCAGAACACCAAGTGGATAAACAATCAAGAGGCAAGTGCCATCCACAGGGCTGTGTTGGCTACTAAGTTCGAAGAGACTACATTGAGCATCGCCTTGGATGATGTTTATGGAGGAGGAATTGAGAGCAATGCTCCAGCTGATGACTCCAAAAGAACCGGTGGGATGAATTCTGAGAGTATGGGGCTCCTGTGGGATGTTCGCAAGGAAGGTCGTGCTGTACAACCAGTGACGGCTAATGCAATTTATTGCAGGTCACCGGTTGTTGATTGTTTCCACATCACAGTGGATAATGTCGACACTTTGAATATTGGTGACGCAGCAACACCTGAGCAGCGATCAATATTCAACACCCTAGTGTGTCGCTATGGAGACATATTTGCTCACGAATTGAGCGAATTGGGTCGCACAAATCTGGTGCAATGTGACATTGAGCTGCAACCTGGAACCAAGCCCATGTGTACAAAAAAGAGTCAACGTTGGCCACCAGAAATCGAGGCCTTTGCAAGGACTCGCTGTGCTGAGTTGTTAGCAGCGAACATGATAGAGGAGTATTACGGTCCATGGGGCGCAGGGACGATTTTCCCCAAGAAGAAGTCTGGTGCATATAGAATGTGCCACAGGTACTGTCGATTAAATGAGGCAACTGTTCCAATTCAGTGGCCAATACCCAATGCTGAAGCGTGCTTGGACAGGCTGGCTGGAAGAAAATACTACTCAGTGCTTGATGGTTTCAGTGGCTATTATGTAGTGGAGCTTACACCACGTGCTCGTGATTATACGGCGTTTGTTACACCGTTTGGCAAGTTCCGCTACACAGTGATGCCGTTCGGTATCACCAATGCACCCCCCGTTTATGCTCTACTCAATCAGCGAACTTTTGGTCCACTCATTGGAACTGAGGTGGAAGTGTTCTTTGACGATTGCGGAGTCGGTTCGGACAGTTTTGAGGATCACATGAGCACACTTGAGAAGTGTTTTCAATGTTACAAAAGAGCAGGGATGAGTTTGAATCCGAAAAAATGCAGTTTTCTGCAGAGTTCCATCGTATTCCTTGGCCATTTGGTCAGTGCAAGGGGTCTGGAACCTGAGCCAGGAAAGATTGAAAAGATCAAGACATGGGAAAGGCCACATGACACATTGAGTGTCCAGAGATTTCTTGGTTTTGTGAACTACTACAGGAGGTTTATTAAGGGGTTTGCAAAACGCGCACAACCTTTGCGTGTTTTGACACACAAAGGAGCTGGATTCGAATGGGGGGATGCGCAGCAGGGCGCATTTGACGATCTATGCGAAGCGCTAATGACATCTCCAGTGATGACC